GGTTAGAATATGGCCGGTTGATGTCGGCTAATAAGCCTGAAATGTCGACTCCGATCTCCCTTACCTTTGTCAGTAATGTCATCCCGCCTTCTCCGCAACGGCTGCACCGACTGAATACTGCACTCTGCCCTAAAATAGTTGCGCTTTTTGTTCAAAAGTCCACACAGATGCTACTCGCAGTTAATTTCCCCAAAACCGTCTTGTCCCTCGATATTCTTAGTATTTACCGTACAGATGGGAGTTATGCTTTTTGTTAAAGATTTTGTAAAAATGGGCAAACTCCAACACATATTCCTACTTCTGTTGCTGAATTACTCGTTCCAGGTTACTGGATATTCCTCACGGAAGTTACAGCTCCTCGGGTCACCCTTTTTATTAGAACACCGACAGGCAACAGGAAAAACAGGTTAGGACCTTGACAGGAATTATCGTTTATAGAAAACCCAATGGCATATTTTCCGGTTAATCCTAATTTGTAGCAAAAACCTCTGCTTACCAAAGTTATTTCCAATATATTCAGAATTGTTTATGTAGTCTCGTGATACCGACCCTTTTTTATGCATGCAGTTAACATCTACCGCCGCAGCTAAGGGTGCAGCTTTAATATATGCCGCTCTGAGTTAACAGTGCTCTTTCTTCTGAGTTACACTTTGATCTCTCTTATGCTAACCGTGAGTCCCCTTCCCCAGACTACGAGTGAGTCAGTTCCCGTGTTAGCTTCCTGGTACAAGGGACAATTAATCATGCAATATAAGCCGTTTACGATCTTAAACCTTCCTTGGTTGTATCTATTTTGCCGTCCCTTTAGCATCAATAATCTAGGAGTTTAGTAAGTGGCAGTGCCGGATGACTGTATGGGACATAAAAACTTTACTCAGAAGGAGGATGCTCATTGTGGTTTCCTATCCCTGAGTAAAGCAGAACCAGCTTAAAATTCCCCTATTGGGTCATTTCAAATTTTTTACGCTTTAAACAGTGTTGACTGAAGGATCACTTATGCCCCCAAAACTGGAGAAAGGTTGGAAAAACATCAACATCACATGAAACTTTTATCTTATAAGAAAAATAGGAAACATACAATGACACGCTCTCGGTCCTTTGAAAGTGACTTACACAGACTATTATACCAGAGAGTGACGGGGGGAAGCCTGAAAGTTAGCAGTTTTTGTGTGATTTCTGTTTGTCTTTCTTGTGCTGGGAGAGGCGTTTCAGCCCTAGAACATTTCACTCTTCATTATTCAGTTTCTCTGTTTCGGGACACTCTAGCTTGGTGGAATTTGCCTCCTCCGTAGTCAGAGGATTCTGCTTGGTCAGTTCTCGGTAGGCGATTTCATTGCGTTCCATCTGAGCTAGTTCCATGTCTTTCTTCTTCCCATTTGAGCTGTGTTTCCTGTACTGTCTGCAAACAAGGTAAATGAACTCAATCAGTTCGACCAGAAAGGCGGCAGTCAACCCGACGAAGATGGAGCACAGACCACCGACGCGTGATATGAGTATATAAAAGTCGAATATTAATCGTTCTTCTTGCAAGGTCGTATCGTAGGACGTCCGAACAAGGCTAATATAGGTGTAAAGACCCTCGTCCGCAAAGTTTTTCGCAAATTTACTCGACACAGATGTTAGTCTATTTGAATTGAGCTCTACCGATGAGGAGTTGATCGTGCGCTCTAGGTAACGTATAAACTGTTCTTTCTGCTCGGGATTGTTCTGAAGGCTTTCCACACGTTTACACTTCTCAGTAAAGTAATTCAACTTCTCCGGCATGGGCTTCCACGAAGTAATACTGGCACTGACGGGGTAGGTGTAAAAGGAGCAAGCCGAGATACAATTTCGTTTTCGTATTGCCTCCTCTTTAATTTCCTTTACTCTATGCAGGAGGTCACCGGCACACGTCAGGCGTTCCACCATGTCTTTCAGGCTGTTGGGATCTTTTGGATTCTTTGGCAGGGCTGAACAGTAGGGGATCTTAGTGTTGACCAGAGCAGAATCCACTGTGCGCGGCCACTCCGAGTTGAGGCAACCACAGGAGTTA